CCAACATTGAAACTCTCATAATTCCAAGATGTCATGTTTCTAAAATCAACAAGTAACAAAATAAAAAAAATCAAATACAAATAATAAAAATAAAAGTTCAAACTTGAAACCTAGCAATATGTACACCTACAGCTACACCGTTAGTTCCCCGGCAACGGCACCAAAATTTGATCACGCACAACTCTAGTCCTAAAAAGGATAAGCGGTCGCTACAAATATAATCTGGTCTAAAAGTCCGGAGTCAAATCCCGCAGAGAACTAAGGTTTCACTATAACTGTTCAATATCACTCGAAAGACAAGCTCGAACAATTCCTAAGTTATAATATTAAGATTTTTATGTCTAACTAATTAACTAAAAAATTAAAGAAGTAAATTAAGAACTAGAGATACTAAGGGTTGGAGAAAAGATTATGAGGTCTAGAGTTATGATTTTCCCAATTGTCGGAATCCTTCCCGCTATGTCTTCTATAATTTCACCTAAATATTCTCTACCGATCGTGAGTAATTTGAGTGTCGTAGCTCTTTCTCGAGCAACTACCACAAATTACTAGATGTATTCTCTTGAACTACACTAGCTAGCACTAATTCACCGCTCACTATGTTCGCACCAAGGTTTGGTTATCTCTAATCCTGCCTTTAAACCCTCCGTATTGATCTCTCACATATGTTGGGAGTGATGTTATTCAATAACTACCTAAATATGTACTCTCTCTCGAGCAGTACACACTAAATAGGCACAGTCAATTGATGGCCATTCAATCAACAACAACAAACACGTAGTTGAACAAGTAGAGAAATCCAACGGCCTAATTATATAGAAATATAATAAGAATTCATCCTACAAAAGGTTCCATCAAAACCCTAGATAACAAATTAGGTATTCATAATAGTATGCATAACTACAATACTAAGATTCATAATCAATAATGGAAATATGAAGAAGGAAGTGAAAAACTCGTGGAAGAATTCTCCACCTTGCTCCCAGTGTGTTCTTGCCTCCTTAGGTCGAATCCCCGGTCTCCTTAGCCTCCTTAGGTCTAAATTATGTCAAAAGTCCCAAAAATAACGTTTTTATATGTATATATACCAAGTAAGGTCAGGCACAAACAATTATACCTCCTCCTACGCAGAAAAGGACAGTTTTCCCGTACAGGACGTCCGCAGCCGCGGATTTTACCCAGTTTCTGCCTCACATCCGCGGCCAGTGCGCTGCCGCACACTCGTCGCGTATTTTTCGCCCTGTTCTGTTTGGAATTTGGAAAAACATAAAACACGAAAGTTGTAGCCCTTTGAATTAGCTTTCTAGCCATATATTGTGGAGCTCAAATGAAGTTCTGGGAGAAAATTTATGTGCATTTTACTAGACAGTGTGCAATATACCTACTCGATTCTTCGTTTGTTCTTAACTATCATCCGTCGATCTACGAACACGATCTTGACTTAATTCCTTGGGATTTTACTCAGAATTCAAAGCTCCAAATCACTTCAATTCATTCCATAACATTTACATAGCTCGGAATCACTCCTACAAGGCATAAAACACACAATTAGTGCAAAACACTAGCAATTAAAGCGCAAACTCAACTGAAGTGCGTGAATTAGAATGTAATAATCGACTAAAATACGTAATTATAGCCTATAATTACTTGTTAGGAATCAACCTTTGAGGTCTTCAGAAGCAAGGAAATTAGCATGGAAAAAAGAATATCAAAGTTAGGATTTCCATTGCAGCAGGTGAATATAAAAGAAAATACGAGGAAATCAGTACGGTACCTACGCCGTGTTGTGCATGGCATTGTTTATCAGGCACTTCCCAGAAAGTGAGTGCATTTTCTTCCAATCTTTCTCTGAAGCCAATGACTTACGATAATTCACAAGCTCCACCGGCTTGGACAAAAGATGGCACTCTTTCGAAATCGAAAGAGTGACACTTCTCATCCCTCGAGGATCTGGGGAAGGGGTTGAATAATCATGTCCCATGTTCCTGTGGACGGGAGACCGACTGTGGAGGGGAAGCATCCCTTTCTTGATCTTCTGTTGCCGGTGGAGGAGATGTGATCATTGTAGGTGGTGAAAGAGTAGATGGTGTCGGTGGATGTGAACCCATCAGTATGGAAGGTGAAGAAGCAACGGTGGCAGTTGATTATTATTTGCTCAGTAGTCGAAGGCAAAAGAGGCCCAGGGTCTAAACTCTTTGGACCGGAGACAACAATGGGGACTGAAAAGCGAGAATACACTGTCTACCAGGCCTATCTCACCCCAAAATGCTTGGGTTTCTTCTGCAGTCGGGTTTTGAAGTTCTCCCGGCTGAGCATCCGGTTGCCGCTGAAGATCTTTATCTCTTTTGAAGGGAAACCTCTTCATCACTGGCTTCCCCGTCATCGACAACAACCATTGTGATCGGCTCGGATGATGTTTTCTTTCTTTTCTTCTCCTGATCATGAGTCCCAACCGAGGAAGGGCGTTTTCTCTTCGATTTCTTGCCCTTGGACTGGGGACCCCGAGAAGTGGCACCCTTACTGGAAGCAGATCACAAGCACAACTTCGAGCAAGGGCACTTTGCAGCACCCTCCTGGCTTCTTCGGGGTCGACTTAGGCGTCAACCTCAGGGCAGACGACAGAGCCCCTTGGAACCCCTGTATCAAGCAAAACACGGATCTAGCAACTTTTCTCATGAAAATTACATAAGTTTCGTACATAGACAAAAGGTCTCTAAACTTTGATCATTTTCATTTTCGTAGGTTCACATGATTTCCAATTATCTTGACTTCGACGAAAAAATCAATATTCAACAATCCACATTAATCTATCACAAAAATTATACTTTTTCCATTAATGTATAGTTATATACTCAAAGATTTGTTCGAATCTATATATTATTAAAACCAAAGAAAAAGGCATCACATTAAGCCAAGTTGCATCGTAGAAAAAAGTCACATGACATAATTAGTTATTGGTTATTATTTTTGAATTTAAATATCTATAAAATTCGAAAATAAGAAAAAAACAAAAAAACTACGAGAGTAGTTTCTTCCTAAAATAGTAGTCTCTCTCTCTCTCTCTCTCTCTCTCTCTCTCTCTCTCTATATATATATATATATATATATATATATATATATATATATATATATATATATATATATATATATATAAATTTTGTTGTTAATAATTAGTTACTCTTTTATAATTTGAATATAAACATACTTAACTATTATTTTTACACAAGCAATAATTATTATATATTATAAACTATTTATTCTAAAACCCATCTATCTATACTATATTAAATGTGCGAAAGCCCTTAGTGAAATGTCATTCGCCTTTTTTATCCTTTTAAAATGGAGTTCACATTAGACAAAATAGTCATTCAATTAATTTTCCTAATATTTAGGAATAACATTTAATTAATTGTCTACTATTTAGGAATAGTTATTTAATCATTTCCCTTATAACTATTTTTTTAAACCATTCCTTATTTGAACTAAGTAAGAAATTTTAATATTTAAAATTATAAGGAATTTAAAGTTCGTTACAAAGATAAGAAAAAATCAAATAGTCCGAACTCATCAACTAAGCCATAAAATCATAAAAGCACATACGTAAGAATAATCTATATACCAACTATTAAAATCATAAGGAAAGGTTTGTTTTCCTACAAGGAAGCTCCACAACATTTTTTGTATTCTTTGTCTTTTGTATTTTAATCAAAATTTCAAATAGTAAATATTTATTTAAAAGCTTGATTATTAAATTATATATTTCTTCTATTTTTTAAATTAACTATCTATCATTAACTTTAGGATTAGTAATCATTGTTGAAAAAATATTAGTAATCATCTATTTGTAATAGGAAATTGATAATCATTTAAAGGAAAGAAAACAGAGAAAAGCTAGAAATATCAATAAAAAAATTTAATTTTTTAGTTGACTATTGATTTCAAGAGTCATCAAAGAGGATATTAAGAAAAATTAAGAAGCGGAAAATAGATATAGCAATTATTTATATTGCCACACAAGATTTCGAGTAAGTTGAAGGCAACGAAAGCTTTGATAAGAGAAGTCACCGACATTGATAATAATATATATAAATATATTTAGATTAAAAAAAACTAATATATTAATCATGACCACAAAGAAGAAAAAAAGAAAGAATTTATTACATCAAAAACATTATTTATAAAAATAGAAAAATTGGTTAAGGTAGAATCAAATAGTTTGTTATATCCATATCGATTTTGAAGAAAAATACACAATCATATTATTTGAGAAAATTTGTATTTTAAGGTAAATTTTCATGTTTCTTTCTCAATGCATTTACCAGAAAAAAGTGGAATGAACGATAGTAAAAGAAAAATTAATAGCTCAAAATGCCAATTTAAAGTTACACAGCTTTTTTATTCTTCAATCATATAATATTATGCGTGAAAAATATAAGTACTCATTCTAAATATTATTAATGTATAATTTCTCCAATTTTTCACCATGACCATACTCTTTAATTAAACATCATATTTTAAAAATCCTTATGATAATACACTTAACGTAGTACATCAAGTTCGAATACCTAATTTTAGAGTAGATGAAAAGATTATTATTACAATCTTCTATAAATTAATTTTCTTACATCAAATATATTCTGCTAATCAATCCTTCGGTAAGTTAGAGGCAAATTCAATAATTATAGAAGCGTAAATTCAAATTTATTTTCTTAGAGAAGCGTAAGGGTTATAGAAGAGTTAAAATATTATTGTAAGTAACATGAATATACATTCACACCTTGTGCTTCTCTTGGAGGTTTATTCCGCCCATATGGAAATATTATAAATATAGCATTTGATAATTTAAATATGGTATAATTTCTTCCTTTATTAAGTTAACTAGAATTGACATACATTATTTCATGAACTTATCCTATATTATAATTTATATTTAGTAGCGAAAACATTATTTAATAGTAATATTTATGTAACTCAGGCATAGATATATAAGCATACATTTCACAATCTCACCACAGACCAAAAACAGGTAGAATCACGAGACAATTCATACTTGACAGATTCTTCTTCGCCAAAACCCTAAACCCTGGTACTGCTCGGCGCTCGCCACATTATGGCGACGAACAGTCCGAACCTAGAGTGCCGAATGTACGAGGCCAAGTATCCTGAGGTGGACCAAGCAGTAATGATACAGGTCAAGAGCATGGCTGATAGTGGCGCCTATGTTTCCCTTCTCGAGTACAATAACATTGAAGGAATGATCCTTTTCTCCGAGCTCTCTCGCCGTCGAATTAGGAGTATCAGTAGTCTCATTAAAGTTGGCCGAATCGAGCCCGTTATGGTTCTTAGGGTTGACCATGAGAGAGGTTATATCGATCTTAGTAAGCGAAGGGTTTCTGAGGAAGATATTCAGGGTTGTGAGGAAAGGTACAATAAGAGCAAGCTTATTCATTCCATTATGCGCCACGTTGCTGAAACTATGAACATCGATTTGGAGGTTAGCTACTTGTTATGCTAAGTTTCTTCAGTTCGTGTTGAATTTTTTTGGTTATGGAGAAATTATTTGTGAATATGGATATGTCGTTGAAGTGTAATGTAAGTAGAAATTGACTGTTTTATTATTCGGCATTATTTCAACACTCATCCAAATCACCATTTGGCATGCTGTCCAAATTATGGAAAATGAAGTGTTTGCAGGTGTTATGCCAATTGTATCTGAAATTGAGTTTTGATTATAAAGTCTGAATGACTAAAATCACCTTTCCTTTCAATTTCTCAATACACTAAATAGTCAAGCACATAGCGTAGCCAGGAATGCTAACAAGGGATTCAAAAAAATGCAAAAAGGCTATACCTGGAAGCTTCTCTTAGATTAAGAGGATTCAATAGTTTATATATATACAATTTTTTTTATACTTGCACAAGATAATTTCGGACTATACTTACTTTTAGCTCCGCCACTGGTCAAGCATATGATAAAAAATATTTGTCTTCTAGCAAGAATTTAGAGGGAGCTTGGTTCTTTGTGCCAGGTCTTGTATTCGTACCATGGTCATAGCACTAAGTGATCACAAACGGAAGCAAAAACCTGGATAGTGTAGAATAACAAGGCAATGGAAGATAGAAGTTAAACACAAAATTGATTTGAATCTATTAGAAATTAGGATAAAGAAACCCTAATAACCTTTAAACCCAATTGAGAATGTACCTAAACTATGAGATCCTCAAGAGATTAATTACTCTTGCAAATTCCGGGCAAAGCTTAATTGCAATTAAGCAATTCACAACCAAATCACTTACCAATTAACGATAAGTGCTTACTAATCAAAACAATTGAAGAAAGCAGTAAAGGAATTAAAAGCTTAAAACTCATAAATGCATAAATGTAAAGAAAAGGATAAATGACATCATTGTCTTTGTTCATCGAAATCTAAACCTATGAAGTACCAAGAATTGACAATTTATACTAGCTATTTTAGGTATAAGTAATTCCCAAAATATCCCTAAGGAGTGGTAAGGATAAGGTCTGCGTACACATTACCCTTCCAGACCCTACATGTGGGATTATACTGGGTAGTTGTGTTGTTGTTGTATCCCTAAGGAGTGGCTTAAGGTGTAATTTAACCACTTTCGGAAAAATCAAAATCTGGCCCGTCTTCAGAGCGCTTAGAGGTGCGTGAACGCGCTTCAATGTGGGCCTCCTGCACAATCGCGTTGTGCAATGTCCTCCCAGTCTAGCTCCAGTCATCGTTTTGTGCAATTGTGTCCACAGGTGTCGATCGTGCTGAAAATCCTTCAGGCCCTCTTGTGCGATCGCTATATGCTTCCACGATCGCAATAAATCAATCTGCCACAGCTCCTCCATTTCTTATTCTTCAGCTCCCATCTCTGTTGGAGGTCCTTCCTTGTATTCTAGCAATGTGTAATAAGTCAAAGACCTCTCCATGACATCCTTGGAGGTGTCCATCTTGGAGGTCAACAATCCTAGCACTTGAAGCTCCTTTGCTTGGCTCCTTGTGAAGGATCTTGAAGGTGCATGTGTATCACGGAGTAATCACTCAGAAGAGTTTACTTTATTTATTACCTACATTTAAGTGAAAGTTTGAGTTAACTGTCACATTAATCGTTCAGGTTCTCATTTTGTTTGCCGGATGCTGCTAATGGATCCCATGTTAAGGCTCCATGTTGTTTCAGAATCATAGGATGCAAAATTTACTGTTGTGCATTTTGCAGAAGTTTATTTCACATCACAACATCTCTAAATTTGTTAGCTCCTGGGGGTATTTTTGCGTTAGTGACAAGTTGAAACTGTGATGTAATTTCATTTCTTTGGGGAGTCGATGAGGTGGAAGACAAAAATTGTGCTGCCACTGCAATTTGCTGTGCCTATTGTAGCGCAATGCAATTTAAAGAACATATATTGGAGGATGAAACTGTTCTATTGGGTGTATGTTTGGCACAGGCTGGGTGCTGGGGAGAGCATTGACAAATTTCAAATAAGTTATCGTTCAGAGGAAGAAATCAATTGTTTGAGTATGGAAAGTGAGAGGGAAGATTTGACTACCACCACATATCATTGTGCTATCTACATATGGAAATTTAGCAATTACCCTGCCCCTACTACTCCGTAATGGGTTGACATAATACCATATGTCGTGCTCTGCTGCTTTATTTCTACTTCCTGTTTGTCCTCAGTTTTGTTATATATTTGAGTTATGGTACTGTGGTCTACCTAGATCTCCGAGGCATTGTGCCTTATCATAACTTTCCTAATATTTAACTAGAACTTATGATACGACCTTCGCTGGAACAACATAAAGACCTGGTTGGTCCCCTTCTAGAGTCACTGAGGGAAATTATTCTTGATTGGGAAAAAACTTGGCACTTTTTTTATATCCGTTTTGTGAATTAGGTTCCAAGTGAGAGATACCAAAAGAAAGGGATCGTGCTTTAGGACACTAGCTGACATTTACTTGGGCTCATTCCAAGTCCCCTGCTTCAAAATTAAAATAGCAAAGAAACATCATGACTGTTTTCATTTGTTTGATGAAGCGAATTAATGCTGGATCAGAGGGAGTGCAATGTGGAAACTGTTTATTTATATGCCCCTTGTTTTTACTAAGCACTTTTTGCTGCTTTGGTTTTAACAGCAATGTCCATTTCGAAGCATGAGGCTAATTCCTAGCAACGTGCTTCAAAATTAAAATAACAGAGATACCTGATGGAAAAAAAGTTAAATTAATAGAGAAGCATCTTGACTGTTTTCTTTTCTTTCTGCTGGATTGGTTGCTGGGAGCATGTTCAAAGTATTATCGTAATTTACTGGTCAGAGAGGTGGTGCAGATTAAACTGTTCTATTTGCTTTCTTTTCTGAACTGTGCATGATCTACTTTCTGCTCTGTGCTATTGTGTTCAGATCAATTCTTTTTTCTTGAAGCCGCCCAGATCTTTAGAATTTCTTCTCTCGACTTTCTATTAATCATCTGATCTGTTTATTGCAGGACCTTTATGTCCATGTTGGTTGGCCTTTATACAGAAATTATGGTCATGCTATTGAGGTGAGAATTGGTATCTGTTTCCAATGTCCTTTTTTTCTCTAACGACTATCAAGATTTGTCATTTGTAGATTTCTTCGTTTTGATTCCCAGGCATTCAAACTAATTGTCAATGATCCAGATCCAATCCTTAATTCCCTCACCCGTGAAATTAAAGAAACTGGCCCCGACGGGCAGGAGGTAGTCTTTTGTCATATCATTTTCTAGGTTAGTTTCTTCCTTTGGTGTTAAATGATGTATACTATCTTATTCTTCCAAAGGTTACTAAGGTGGTTCCTGCTCTATCAGAGGAAGTTAAAGATGTATTAGTCAAGAACATTAGGAGGAGGATGACCCCACAACCGTTGAAGATCCGAGCAGATATTGAGATGAAATGTTTTCAGTTTGATGGTGTTATTCACATTAAGGTAATTAAAGTTGGAATCATTTTTTCATGTGATTATTTATTTCTTCAACCTATTGTCAACACTTGTAGAGGACATAGTTTTTTTGAACATTGACTACTTAAATTTGCACTGATGGTTTATTAACCATCTGATTCAGGAAGCAATGCGTAAAGCTGAAGCTGCCGGTAATCAGGATTGCCCAGTTAAAATTAAACTTGTTGCGCCTCCAGTATATGTGCTGAACGCTCAGACTCTTGACAAGGTAACAGACTGCTATATGTAATTGTTAGCATCTTGTCTGTTGCCTGATGAAATGCTGTGTGTTTTACCAGAGAATGACTGAATGGTGTTATAATGCGCATGAGTACTGTTTATGTTCTTTGTTTTCTACTTAGTGTGTGCGGCATTTCGGCATTTCTTTGTTGCTGCTTACAAGTGATTTTTTAAGGAAAACTTGATAAAGAAAAAGTGGAAGTTAAGGATGGTCGCTTCAAGGGCTTTGAGTTTCTACCAGATGTTTGAGTTAAGACTCTATCTACTTGCCTTCAGTGAGAAGTAGTGAAAGCATACTTGTTGCCATCCCTTAATGAGTTTCTAGGAGAAATTTATTAAGTCTATATTTCATATGTTATCACTGCTTTACCAAAATAGCTTGGGAAGACCTTTTCACAAAAAAAGAAGAAGAAATATCTCAAAAAACAAATAAAAGGACCTTATAAAAAAAAAAAGAAGCTTGGGAAGACTCTCTAGCCTCCTCACCCTCTCATCCCTAGTAGTTCTGTTGACAACAAACAAGGATGTCTCTCTTAGTGATATGCTCGGTGTACTTTTTTTTTTTTGTGAAGCTCTACAGCTGGGCTTCTTTTGCTTGCTAGGATTCTGCAAAGACCACCTCTTATATATTGTTATATCTCTCCTTTACAGGGACTTTGCCAACTATCCTTTTGTCCTGTTTTAAAAGAAAAGATGTTAAAATGATAATGGGTTTCAGGATAGTGAACCTGCCTAGAATCTCTAGAGTAGGACGGAATAAGAAGGAAATCAATCACAAGGGAAAAATAAGCAGCTTAATCTGCTCAGCCGCTTCCACCATTTATCACTTTCCATATGCTGCTAACTCTGGCAAATCAGATTGTCAAAGGCTAAAGGGTAAAAAACTCTTAACACCTGTTAGGGCTTTAAGTATGAAGCACTTAAAGTGTCCACTTTATTAAAGGAAAAGTGCGTAAATGAGGAAAAAAATTGAAATATACATGTGATGCAAGAAAAACTAACTAAACAAAAAAGCACATAAGGATGTGGCCTAGTGGTCAATGAAGTGTGTACAAACCTTGGAGACTAGAGTTCAAATCCCATCAGAGACAAAAATTAGGTGATCTCTTCCCATTTGACTAAGCGTTGGCAGCCCGTGGCAGGCAAGGTCACCTGCTAGACTGGTACATGTGTTGGTGGAATGTAGAAGGTACCCGGTGGAATAGTCGAGGTGCACACTAGCTAGCCGTGTAGTGGGCACCATCGTTGTAAAAAAAAAAAAAATAACAATAATGATATGGAAGAGTGGATTTAAAAGATTACCATTAAGTGGAATATATGAAGTATGCATAAGAAAACGGAATACTAATCATGTAAATACTAATCTTGTAAATCAAGTTCAGAAATTATTTACACTTGGTTATTTAGATGCAAATCTATAATTTTAAGTTTTTAACTCAAATTTAGAGACCAGATATCTTGTACTTCAATCAAATTCTAATTTGTTAACAAATTTATTCTTAACGTTTCCCAATAACTACATATCACTTCGTCAGCTATATTTATATTTAAGAAAATAGCAGCTTTGGTCCCTTAATCTTTGGGTTATTCTAATTTTGCTCCCTGTATAACTTTGCTGAGCCCATCTGACCTTCAATTACACCATAATTGCAGTTTGGTCCAATTATGAACAGTAATAGAAAAATGTTAATTTCTACCTTGTGCAATTCGTGAATTATGAGAAAAATTATAGCTACAGACAAAATAGAAAAGCTTTTTCTTAATTTTTTAAGATGAAGTAATGAGTTTTATAGAAAAAGGCATCAAGAAGATGCAAGAAGTAGAGTCAGCTTTGATACAAAAAAGAAAAGAAATACTAGGCTAAAGCAAAAGAGCTGACAAAATTCAAAAAGTTAATATGGCAATCTACAGGGGCTAAATACTGCCAACTAAATAACCAAAGGAGACATCTAGCTTTAAGTGTGTGTTGGAGTTGATATCCCATCAAAACATCTGCGAATCCTTTCTGTCCAGACACACCAAAAGATACAAGCAGGGATCATCTGCCAGATGACTCTATCAACTTTCCAACCAGACCAGCATTCATAGACTTCTCTGATGCTTTGTGGCATGACCCAACTGAGACCAAAGATAGAAAGAAACATGCACCATATGTCTGAGGCAACTGAGCAATGTAGCAAAAGGTGTCTGTTGGACTCTGAATGTTGCCGGCACATAAAACATCTGTTAACAATTGGCATACCTCTTCTGGTAAGGTTGTCCTGTGTTAAACAAGATTCATTAAGGGCTATCCAGCTGAAGCAAATGATCTTTGGGGGAAGACTTGTCTTCCAGATGTACTTCCAAGGCCATCTATCAATGATTTCATTAGTTGAACATAAATGAGAGTACCCTACTTTCACTGAGTAGAGGCCATCCATCCCCTTAATATTGTCAGCAATGTTGTGGTTGACTGAGTATCCCTCTAAATAGAAAAGCTTTTTCTTAATTATTGAAGAAGAGGACCAAGGTACTGGATCCCAAAGGGCGGGAAGTAGAAGGGAGAAACCTTGATAGTTGATTGCCAAACTAATGGAAGTTAAGATCATGGATCGCCTTACTAGAGAAGCTTGTGGAGGATCGCATCAAGGTGGAGGAGTTGATGCTGCTGCTTGAGTAAGACATTGTTCACAATTTTGTCAGTGATTCAAATCTTTTGCACTTTTGACCAGTTAAATGGAGAAAATGGGACTAGTCAAAGAAGGGAGAAAAACTCAAAAAGGCATGAAGCACTCCAACAGCAAACTCTTTAACTGAAAGCAAGAGTAATACCAAATCATGCAAAGTCAATGAACCAAAATCCAATTCAGTATAAGCAAAATAAATTGAGAATAAGGAATCTACTTTGCTATCAAAACCATAGAGTTCACTAAAAGTCAAACAAAAGTCACAACCAAAATGCAGAACGGCATACTTCAAAATCCAACTTCCCTATACCCATCTGCACTCTTCTTCCTCGGCTGATAGAGGAATTCTACTTACATTTATCCTTGCTTTTCTTCAGATTTTTCTGCTGTGTTAGGCTGCTTTGATTGTTTTATTGTTTTCTTTTCCTCTTTTTTCCAAGCAAAATATTTTATCGATTTCATTAGGGGCTTTTGGGGTGTAGAAGTAGATGTCTCTCATGGTCATGGTTACTCCACTGGTTTTGGTTTCTAGATTAACTCCTTCTGGCATCTTTAGTGGATGAAAGAGTGGGGCTATACTTGGTTTTCTCCAAATTGTGAAGAAAACATTGAAGATTAAACGTATTTGATATACGCTGCAAGAGATCGCCAGTGTCTTCTTCCTTAAACCCTAGCTAATAGAAGAATGAGAGATCCAGCTATGATTATTTCTCTTAATACCAAAATTATCCTTGGTACAAATTATCCTCAACCTACTTTGATTGATAATTGGACCACGATCGTACTTATAATTGAATTGAATTTAATTCAAGGTTGTACTAGTGGAGTAACAGAAGGATCAACAGTGGAATAAACCAATGTACTAAGCAGAATAACTAAAGGACCAACCCTGGAATAAACCAATAATTCAGGGACTCAAACTACAATTTTCCCTTTATTATTAAATGCAACCCCTCCAAATAGAGCCATGGGAGGTAGTCGCATGCCTTGGTGTCTTCACTGAAGCTGAAGCACCGCATAAGCAACACGAAGTACCCAACCACAGGTGCATAAAGAATGCTTCAATCGAGCCCTCAACAACACTATATCAAATAGGTAGTTGATGCCAAATGAGATAAATGCTTCGAGGCAACAAAATATTATATGCTAGGCCACTTCTGTTGGGTATCTCTCCCTGCATTATTAACTCTAAAAATCACTATAGCTTTTAAATGATACTAACATATTTGTCTTTTTTCTTCTGCTTATAAGTTAGTGTGTTGGATAATGATCCACTAGCATGGAGTAGGGAATTTGTAGAACAACTTCTCTATTCTGCATACCGCCAGAAGACTTTGTGTGACGTCTAATTGTGGTTCTATTGCTGTTTAGGCTCTTATATGTGATGCCATGCCTACACATGAAAACAGAAAAAGAAAGAGCGAAGTTAACATAATACCTTTTTCGAGTTTGAAATGGTATTTCGTGAGAATTTTCTCCCAGGCACACTTTTCAAGGCTAGGAAAGACCACTTCTTTTCTGGCATGATCTAATAGTTTCCGACGTCCTTTTTAGAGTTTTTATTTTTAATCATTCATCAGTGATTAATCCTAAAACTTCTTTTGTTTCTTTATGGGGGAAAATAGGATTTATTTTGCTGCAGGTTTTAAATCTTATGATATCACAAGACTCAAGTCTAGGGCAGAAACTTGGTTCGAATGGGTGGAAAGGAGTCGTAATCTGATGCGTAGAACAACCTTCAGCTGGAAAGCCATGGAATGGCTATGCTTTGTTCTTTAGGAGGCTTCCAGAGATGCTGCTACACATGTAAGAAAATGGAAATTCAAAGAGCAATATTCAAACATTTTTGGCTCCCGGAAGAACAAGTTTGGAAGATTTATAAGCATTGTTTCAGTCCAAGGCGACAAAAGATCCGTAACTATTATTCCTGAAGTTGCATTAAATTCAGGATGGCATGATATTGCCTTAAAGATCAGGAGATTCATTAGGCAGATAGAGGAGCCTTTGTGACAAATGGGGCCAGGAAGATAGATCCCAAATTTTCATATACAGAGTCTGTCAAAGCCAGCAAATGGCAGACGAAGGAGTCCAATGAAGTTCATATTACAAAGGGCCCTAACAACAAATCGATTTCTGGTGGTGTTGTAAATGATGATGAAGGTCTATTGGGCAGATGTATTGTTGGTAGCTTCGACGTAGGACTGGCTGAGAAACCTACTCCCACTGATATTCGAAGGTGGTCGGTAAGTTCCTGGAAAAATGCTTTTGGAATCGATGTGTACGCGATGGGTGAATCCAGATTTCTCTTCCAGTTTCCAAACAA